ACTTACATATGCTAAAATGCTTTTAGGTTCCTCTTTCTTTTGACTGGCCTTCCTCCACTGAAACAGTCAAAAATATAGCTTAAAATATACCAAGTGTTGAAAGGTTAAACAGGGAAATACAGTTGCGACAGCCTTTCACACAGTAAGAATGATTTGAACCCGCAGGCATGCCCCTCTCAGGTACGTTCGTGAATCTGGATCAGGAACGTTTAAACACAGATCGAAAAATCAATATGTTTTCAAATCAAATTGCTTTACCGATAGGGGACAGAAAAAGGCAAGAGCGCTGGAATCAACAGAAAAAGGCAAGAGCGCTGGAATCAACAGGCCTCTGGCACGATAAGCACACCATCCATTATTGAATGGACGCCCCTTTGTCAGTCGAAAATAAGTTTTAAAGTAGCAGCCTAACTAACTAACTAACTAACTAACTAAACTAACTAACTAAACTAACTAACTAACTAACTAACTAACTAACTAACTAACTAACTAACTAACTAACTAACTAACTAACTAACTAACTAACTAACTAACTAACTAACTAACTAACTAACTAACTAAACTAACTAACTAACTAACTAACTAACTAAACTAACTAAATAAACTAACTAACTAACTAACTAACTAACTAACTAACTAACTAACTAGCTAACTAACTAACTAACTATCTAACTAACTAACTAACTAACTAACTAACTAACTAACTAACTAACTAACTTAACTAACTAGCTAACTAACTAACTAACTAACTAACTAACTAACTAACTAACTAACTAAACTAACTACTAACTAACTAACTAACTAACTAACTAACTAACTAACTAACTAACTAACTAACTAACTATCTATCTAACTAACTAACTAACTAACTAACTAACTAACTAACTAACTAACTAACTAACTAACTAACTAACTAACTAACTAGTTAACTAACTAACTAGCTAACTAATTAACTAGCTAACTATTTAACTAGCTAACAAACAAACAAACAAACAAACTAACTATCTAACTAACTAACTAACTAACTAACTAACTAACTAACTAACTAGCTAACTAGCTAACTAGCTAACTAACTAACTAACTAGCTAGCTAGCTAACTATTTAACTAGCTAGCAAACAAACTAACTAACTAACTAGTTAACTAGCTAACAAACTAACTAATTAACTATTGCATACTTAAATAAAGATTACGCACCTGGAGTGTACTGAAGAAAGCTGTTTGTTGCTAGAAAATAATATGGGGCCCTAAGAATTTCCAAAGAGCTCCCTCTGTCATAATTCTTGTTTACCGTCGCACCTGGAAGTTAGGGTACGTTTGGAAACGCAAATTGGTCTCCGAGTGATTGTCAGTTTACTTCCATAGATAAGCGTTTTATTGGAGTGTTGAAACCTGTTGCTGACAGCTATGGTTAATTAAATCTGCGCAGCGTTTAAGGCAATGTGTGGATTTCAGGTCTTCATGTGTGGTATGCCATAGGTTGATAGTTTAGAAGGGGCGCCCCTTAGAGGCAATGTGTGGATTTCAGGTCTTCATGTGTGGTATGCCACAGGTTGATAGTTTAGAAGGGGCGCCCCTTAAAGGCAATGTGTGGTATGCCACAGGTTGATTTTAGAAGGGGCGCTTTGTGTGATGGTGTTTGTGTGGTCACAGGTTGATAGTTTAAAAGGGGCGCCTTGTCACTAACAAATTGCATTTAACCTCACTCACCTGGTCATGCCGGCGTAAAGGGTAAAGAGCGATCAGACCTACTGGCAACAGTGAAGATGTAACAACTCTGAACGGACTGGGCTAGTGGATAATGACGAATCCTTGACATACACACGATTGCGTGACTTGGGAGTAAAGCATAGTATAGCATCGCTATGCCGCCTTCGAGGCCGAGATAGGAGACATTATATCGAAACTCTCACGGGAACATTTAGAACCTTGGAGTGACTGCTGCATCGGAGGACTGAGCACACATGGGAACACATGATGTGCAGTGACGTCGACTGTGATAACATAACATATATTCAAAAGAGGAACATTTTTCCCATCCATATTTCAGTTTATTTTATAAATAAAGGTGAGTTTTAAGGTGGATAGCTATGTGCTTTTTATAATAATAAAAAGTAAAAACATCAACAACAACAAAAAATGCTTTTACCACAGTGATACAACAGCCATACAATGCTAAACCTAAATTTTTAAAGGCCAACAGACGCTAGATAGGTGATGTGATCAGTGCCGACCGCCATTACGTCCCATGAGATTTCCCAAAACCCAGATTATACTAGGTCGATCTGGAAGCCAGATTATTTTTTTTTTTAAATCCTGCTCACTCGAACCCAGGAGTTTATGGCTAGAAAGCAAGAAAACAAGCAAATTTTACGTTCAGTAGTTCAACATTGCTCTCAACGGTCAGCTCTCATTACTACTGTCGAAACTAGTGCAAGACAAATCGTCCGCAGCTGGGATTGAACCCGGCACCCCGGCATTACGAAGCGCGTTCGCAGCGCC